ACCCGGAGGGGGGAGACAGACCCCCCCCCTCACGGACCGGCTCGTACCTCGGCGGATCAGGTTCCGGTGTGCCCTTCCATGAGCAAAGAGCAGCATATTGGAAGTGAATATTCCTGCAGAGACAGACAAAAAAACAGAAAAGGCCAGGGTGGGCGGGGGGAGAGATTATGCGTCTTTTGCTGCCCTGGTAGAGAGTTAATCTCCTGTAGCAGGAACGGCAACCAACTTTCGCTTCAGCTTATGCTTGCGAAGTCCTCAGTGGCTATTGACTGATTGCAGCCGAAATGCGGTTTTTGGCCACAGCTCCCAAAGACCGTTAAAAAAACCGAGGTAGGAGAAAACAGAGTTGACTTGGAATTAGAAGCTTCCCAGCAAGACGAAGAAAGTTGCGGCTTCAGGTGGGAACCGACAGAGAGAAGGGACCGAATTCAGCCAGTCCACCCAGAGGGGCAAGGCTGGCAGGACGAGGGGCAGGGTCTTTTCTGTGGCGGCCCCACGACACTGGAACGTCTTCCCCGTGGAGTCTGGAGCAAAAGAATCACAGTCTTTGTGTTCCGATAAAGCATGTTTGTCCCATTCAGCTCTGGTTTCTTTTTAAGGGGTGCTCGCAAGTAAGCTATGTAAATTAGTGATGTTTTGTACCTTGATGGGAACTTCCCTCCTTTCGAACCAATACATGAAGTAAAACTCAGATAACCTTTGAAACTGACACTCCTCCAATAAAAACGCTTACATAAACATGTAGGCTACAGGAGAGTGGATATAGGAATGCATATATTCATGAATATAAGGTTGCAAAGCTATCCTGCTAAGAAAATTGCTTGGGGGAAAATATATACAATATTCAAAAATGCATGTATTGGGTGAAACAAACATTGGTATTGCTCTTTTCTCCAATATATACATCCCCCCACACACACTGGCAAACGCCATTGCAACATTTGGGGATGAGCACATTTTGAAGGATCGCTAATATAATGGTTCCAATGTGCAAAATCCAGATTGCATTTTAGTGCAATCTGCTCCCATTTTTTCCCATCCCTAGAAATGTGTGCTTGGACTTGAATCCAGATGGAGTTTTGCTCTCCCCGCTCCTGGGTCGCCTCGGGGGTTCCAAAAGCAGAGGGGGTGACTTCCGGGCCCGGGTGGGCTTGTGTGACCTCCGTTTGCGGCACCCGAGTGGGTATGTCTGGACCTCCAGGCTTGCAGACGGCCCACAAATTCTCGCTGGCCCACAGCAGGAGTGAGGGTTCAGTTGCTCCCTTGCACCCCTGGATTCGCCGGCCAGGCATAACTCTGCTCTGGGCTGCCAGCTGTGGCGTTTTGCAGCCGGGAACACCAGCCGAGGGCGCGGAGCTACGCACACGCCGACGCAAAGCCGTTCCGCCTCGGACCTTCAGAATTCGGGCCCGAGAGGCGTACTGCCTCTGACTCTGGAGAAGTGAGTGGTCCCCACGTGGCCACGGAGCCCCCGAATGACATTGGGGCAGGCGGTCTCACTCTCACCCTAACCTACCTTGCAGGGTTGTTGTGAGGATAAGAAGGAGGACCCTGCCGGCCATTTTGGGTTCCTCAGAAGAGGAAATAAGGCCATTGCAAAAGCGGTGTAGTGACCGTGAGAATAGTAAGCACAGAGCCATGATGACTAGCCGCCATTTCCCCCAAGAAATCGCAGGATCCCGTCAAAGCTGTCCGGGACAGGGCAGTGGCTGTCACCCCCTAGACCTGGCTGGGCTACAGCTCCCATCATCCACAAACATCAGCTCTGCTTGGGGGTTTTATTTTATCAAGTGGCATATGAGTAATGCACCAGAGAAAGTTCTGTGCTACTTAGACGGAGATGCCGACTGGGCAGTGGAAAGCCGCCTCTCGCTGTCCCGACGGAGAATAAGCTGCTTCTCGTTGGGAAGCGCTCCAGCTCTGACTCCAGTCCTACGGCAAAAACGATGGACAGCTCCGCCATAAGCAGCTTTTCATTTCCCCCATTCAAGGCAGGCTGGGGGGGGAGTTCAGGCCGCAAACCTGGCCAGAACTGACCCACAGATAAAGCATTTCTCATTGTCCACCCCCCCCCCCCCCCCGCCGTCCTCCATTAATTATTCCAGAGTGGTCCCCTGGTCAGGTGCCAGTAACAACAGGCATTTTAAAGCAGCCCATAATGTTCTTCCACACACACACAAATCACCAAATCTATCACAGGACAAAGGCATGTTGTTTATGCTGCTGGAAATGCGGCGCATTTGTCAGACTTATCTGCTCCCCAGCCCCCCGCCTGGAAGCTAGTCCGTTGCGCAAGTTGCGCTGAGATGGGTTTGGGCCGGGCGTCATCCCCGCCTCGTCCTTTAACAGACAGCAGGAATGCAATTATTGAGCAAGATGGATGGACCTCCCTGCAACACGTCCTTTTTCTGAGCCACCCGGTTCCCGAGGCCCCTTCCAACGTGCTTCTTTCCGAACGCCTTTGCGCGGCGATTGAAGGCGCGGAAGCTACTCGTGCACAGAGCATTCCTTCCTGCCACGCGAGCAGGACGAGGCGCCCCGTCTCTCCTGGGCCGTGGGGTCTCTCCCGGCTTGCCTCTGGTCCCCCAGCCAGGCCATGTGGGTGCCCCAAGAGGATCTCTGGAACTGGACTAAGGCCGAGTCAGAAGCAGGTCCAGCCTCCCCAGTTCAGAGCCTCCAAGCTGATCTCGGCTCGCCTTTTCTGCCGGCAGTTGGTCTTTATCGTGACTTTTTGGGCTGTTTCATGGCAGTGTGTGATTTCTACCCCCTTCGTGCATCTTATTTACAGCACTGCTATCTGTTAGCATGAAGGGTGGTTGTAGGACAACCAGAAGTGGGCACTGGGCATTTCAGCCGCTCGCAGTGGTTTCAGACAGGGGCAAGAAAAAGACTTTTTCCCCCCTGGATTAGGCTGCTGAGGCGAAGACAGGCAGCAGGCCGGATAGGACGGGGATCCTGTGTGCCGCGGTTGCGTGCAGGCAAGCCCCGGCTGGGGTACTGAAAGCAAATTGTCGCTGAGCCCCCGCTGTGCGTGTTCACGCAGGTGAAACCACGGTGCGAGATGATGCATCCGGATTTGCCCCGTGCTGCGGGGACATCAGAAGGCTTGCCAGTCTGTACACATCTGAGGAAACAACACAGAAAACTGCAACGTATTTGGAAAATTGCTGGCAGGCGCAAGAGCGTACACAAGTCAGCACTGGGAGCAAGGGACACAAACAGACTGGCTCGTTTTCTTGCAGTGCTGTGGTGTTTGTGTGCTCGTTTGCCTTTGAACGCAGAGTTCAGGCCCAGCCAGACTCAAGACGGGGAGGATGAGACATGGAGAGAAACTGGAACAGACGTTCCCTTGTCTCTGCTGAATAGGGCCCGGCACTCGAACGGAAAAGCAAGCTGATCTCACGAACCTGAACTCTGCCCCCCCTCAGACGACTTGGCCTGTCCTGCCCCTTCCACTCCGTGGCTGCCGGCTCCCCAAAGTGGCCCCATGGCTCCACAGGGACGGAAGAGGCCCCTGCCACGAAGCTTTCTCTGGCGGTTTCTTTAGTTAGCTTCTATGTTGAGATTTTGCATTTGTCTTTTGTTTTGTTTTGTTTTGTTTCTGGGGTGGGGGGGACAGTATTTCTACAGTGAAAAATGGTATGTTTTTCATGAGATTTGTTTCCTTATAAACATTTCCCTGGAAGCTGTTCCCAGAATGTCACCACTTTGCTCCACATGACCCAGGCTGCTGCTGCTTTTCCGTTTTTTCTCCCCGCCATCCAAAATGGCAGTTAATTCATCTGATGTCTGTCTTTCCCTCCCTCCCCGTCTCTCTCTTTCTCTCTCTCTATCTTAACTAGCACTCCTGCATAATTTAATGCAAACTGCTACTGGGAATTCCACTTTAAGTTATTTTTCCTTATTCTCCTCCCTGCTGCTCCGAGCATTTAGCAAGCCTCGCTTGGGACTGCTTTCTCTCAAGGACGGGCAGAGAACGAACATGTGGTTAACCTTCTCCCACCTGCCACGCACCCCATCCCTCCGTGGTCAAATGCCACCGGTGGGGGGAGGCTTACAGGGGCCCCCACGGTCGCTCCAGCCGACCCTCCCCACTGGCTGCGCGTCACACGTGTCGCCTGAAGCTGCTCGGCCATTTGCAGCCGCACGCAGCATTTTCCTGAAAGGTTGCCAACGGATGGGACTGGTGTGGCCGCCCCGGCTCCTGCGCCACCCCAGCCGTTCCAAAGCAGCGGGGAATGGCTAGTGGTCCGAGCGATCAGCTCCACAACCTCCATCTCTCTCAGCAGCCCTCTTCAAGTGGGAACCCTCCAGATTTCCTGGATCATGGGAGTTGGCAGGTTAACAAATCCGGAGGGCACACGTCTGGGGAAGGGGGGATTTGGAATATCTCCCACAGAGATTTGGTCTGCTTTCCCTTTCTCCTCCGTCTACCGACGGCTGCAGACGGCATCCTGTTACCTTGATTGTGCTGCGGAGCTGGTTACAGATTTAGGTAATTAAGCACAGAGTAAGATGAGTTGCCTCTTCTGCTGTCAAACTTGCTAAAAATACACAGAATGGGGAAGGAAATCAAACCGCGTGTCTGTGGGAGCGGGAATTATTTCTGCTCTCGATTCGATGGCTGAAGGGGCCATCGCCGCCTGTGTGAATGCTAGGCTGCGGTCTTCGCCCCTTGCCGGAAAACGCCGGGCCTTCGAAAGCATTCTGCTTGGCGCGACTCCCGCCGCAGCTCTTCGCCTCGCAAGCCCAACCGGGGCGGAGGCAGGAGATGCGGGGGCCCTGGCGCTGGAGAGGCGGTTCTCCGAGGCCAGGGGAGCACCAGTTCCTCCTGCCCCCGGCTTCTGCAGGCTGGGGCGGGCTCCCCGGCGGCGCCTGGGTTTCCAGGCCGGCAGCACGGGCCGCTTGACGCGCCCGCCCCACCCCGGGGCTCCGCCACCTTGCTCCGCTCGCGCTCGCGGCCCGCCAGCCGAGTTGGCTTCCTTGACGCTCGGCCCCACCTGGTTTGAGCACGTCAGCATGCTGGTCATCCTGCTGAACTGCGTCACGCTCGGCATGTTCCAGCCCTGCCAAGACACCCAGTGCCAGTCCGAGAGGTGCACCATCTTGGAGGTAAGAGGCCCCCCTCCCGCTCCCTCCCTCCCTGTGTCGCAAGGTGATGGGGGCAACCGGAACCTCAGCCCCACCATTTGGGGGCGTCGCATCCCCCTTGCTCTCTCCACTCTCCGCAACTGCCTTGCTCGTCTCCCTGCATGGTGCAGGCGGTGGCCCATCTTCCACCGCCCCGTGGGCGACCTTTGCCCCGCACCGCATGGGGTAAAGTGGCAGCCTGATGGGGGGTCTGCCCTGGGGGTCCTCCCTGGCGGCAGTGTTGGGGGGCCGCTGCAGCCCGAGAAAAGCCAGGACGTTTCCCCAGAAAAAGACGAGGGAAATGCCACGCAGGGCCCTCGCGTTCCTGGGAGGAGAGGAGCCGTGAGTTGGTGGCAGTGCCCCAGCTGGCCATGCAGGAGGTCCCCTTCTCCACCTCCAAGTAGGGCTAGGAAGTCATCCTGCCTGGGACCCAGGAGAGCCACTGCTGCCGGTCAGAGCTGGCAATATTGGGCTGGCTAGACCAAGGCCGGACTCCGTTGGTTTAACCCCCAACGGCTCTTTGAGTTTCTCCTAACCCCACACAACTGTTGGCATCACTGGTCGTGTGGGAGACATACTCCCGCCCACGAGATGCTGAAAGGCTGCTCAGAGCCGGCTGGCCGGATCTGACTGAGGCGTGGGTGACCCAGAGTCTCGCCACCACTTCTGGGGGCCTGGGGGCACCGGGCGGGCCTCGTGGAAGGAGCGTCACTCTCCCCCAACCTCTCGCGGCCACCCCTGCCCCGCTGGCACCCTCCCCCTGAGGCTGCCGTGCTCCCCCGCTTCCTTCCAACACCAGCCTGCCCTTCTCCCCTTTCCTGGGCCGAGACGTCTTGTAAGGCGCGTCCCTGAGCCTGGAGCATTTTCAGCGAGGCTTTTCCCCACCTCCAGGAGCTCTTTCCATCTCAGGGGGGAGGATGGCTGGCCTTCCGCTGGAGATCCCATGCCACACGGCCTCCCCCCAGGGCAGCCGGCCACCCCCTGCTAGCTCTGCTCGTAATGCAGCGCAGAGCGTTGTCCCCGGGGAGCTGGCGAGGCCTTGAACTCTTCAGCTTGTTCTTATCCGGCAAGCTTAGGGGCTCGCTCTGAGCCACGGACTCCGATCCCCTCCGAATCCTGCCAGTCGCGGAGCTGGCATGCGCCCAGGGTATCTTCCCAGAGGTTTGGAGGAAGCTCGGTTCCAATGAGCAGATCTGCCCACTGCGCTGTCCCCCACGTCTGAACCGCTGGCGCCTCGCGTTCTTTCTCCCCCAGAAAGGAAGGCCCTGTGGCAACAGTTTTTCTAAATGCGCGGAAACGAAGCCCTCGCCCTTCTCCACCAGCCCAACGTAAGAGGCACCGCATTCCCCGGCGTGGGGAGAACCACGATTCAGCCAGGACTGGGTGCCGGCCACAGAGCTGTTGAAGAGGATCAGCCTTTCCAAAGCAAGGGGCAGCAGCTCTGACAAGGAAGCCCGGCTCTTTAAGCACGAAGAACTCCGAGCCCTGGGCCTGGGGGGACATCTCTCGCCAGTCGTTTCTGTACAGAACAGGCACAGACCTGCAGATTTAGAAAAGTGCTCCACACAATCAAACCACGGTGCACTTCTCTCCCCCACCATCATTCTGGGTCTTCTCTTGTGGGCGGAGCAGTTCCCTCCCCTTCGGAGCCTCCCTTCTGTGCAAACACATTTCTGCAAAAGCCCTCCTGGCCGCCGTGCAACCTCAGAAAACCTCAGCAGCTCTCCGTTTAGATTATTCCCTCTGACCTCCATGAGATGGCTGCTTGCTTGCCTCTGGCTTTCGGCCGGCCATTACATTCCAGCCTCGATCCCACATCCCTGTTATGGCTGCCGTGGGATTTACAGTGCTTAGGAAAATGAAAGTGTGAAGCTATTGAATTAGGCCTGTTAATGTTATTGCCTTGCTGTTCAATAACAAGGCTTAAGGTTTAATGCCTTTGTCCATACACACACGCAAAGAAGGCTCCGGCTGGAACCATCTGCGGATCCAGCCCGCTCGGTTCAGCGCGCCGTCTCCAGCACAAGCAAACAAGATCCCCCAGCAAGTACGGGAACGAGGACACACAAGACAGAACCAGAGCATGCAAACAGCTGTTCTCGCTTTGCACGGCCCGTGTCTAGTCTCCTTTCCAAACACAGAGGTTCCATTAGAAGAGTTCATTTTGACTAGCGTCCTGTCCCTGAAGGGGCTAGCCAGATGTTTCCAGGAGCCTCGGAGCCGAAACACTGTCTGTCCGCTCAGTTTATCTCGGGAATGTGCCATTCCGAGAGGCTTTTCGGCTATGTGTCTCGGAAAGGATAAAGTATGTGACCTCAGTGCTTGGCCTAAACTCCTCCAGCTCCCCGGGTGGCTTCCAGAGTTGCCAATTCCTGCAGCCAGGCAAAAAGTGCTTCGTTCTGATACAGCGTGAAGCAATTTTTTCTCAATTCCCTGCTCTGTTTCCGCAGTCCTCCGCCTCACCTGCAGCGCAGTTTAGCACCACTGGCTCTTGTCCGCACCGTTCTGTGTACACGCATCTTGGGCGGCAGCCCTCCAAACCTCACTCCGGAGCCTCCTCGCCAGAAACACCTGGGCTACCACCGTCCGGAGGATCCAGGGGCAGCTTGCAAAACCAGGCCTGGTGCCGTGTGGGCTGAGGAGGAGAGGATGACGAGACAAACTGGCCTTTAATGGCTGCAAATGCCCGCAAGTGCTGAAAATCACCAACAATTAGTGCCAGTAACAGCAGCGACCCCAAAAGACCGTCCACTTTTAGACCCAATGAGCACTTATGAGAACTGCCGATATTGGATTCAGGGCTTAAGTTGCTGTTAGTCATAGCAACAGCAGCATCCCGTTCTCTCTTTTCTGGCCCCCATATTCGCACTGACACAAAGCCCAGGGGCTTCGCAGAGGGGTCAGACTAGACGGGGGCTTTGCCACGAGGGGCATCTTGCCAGCCAGCCAGCCTGCCCTGCGACCGTGGCGGCCAGCAAGGCTGAGACTGCGGGCAGCTCCTCTGGGGTCGGGGAAGACATGCCCGAAGGCTCTGCAGCCACGCTGTTTTTCCATTTGCTGCATGTGTCCAGGTTTTAAAACACTACCTTGCAAACAGTCCAGCCGTCAAAAACGCTGAAATTTTGCTGAATTGTTAGTTGTGCCGAATTCGCTTTTCTCCCCTAGAAATAGAAAACCTTCCGAGAGGTTTTGGCTCCTCAGACCACCCGGAACAGACCTGGGCGGGCTCCTGTTGTCTTCCTCAAAACGGTTCTTTAGCGGCACGCAAGAGCAAAACTCGACGGCCGTTCTTCTTTTTCACCCAGGCGTTCGATCACTTCATCTTCGCCTTCTTCGCTGTGGAGATGGTCATCAAGATGGTCGCCCTGGGAATCTTCGGGCAGAAGTGTTACCTGGGTGACACCTGGAACCGCCTGGACTTCTTCATCGTCATTGCTGGGTCAGTAGGCGAGGCGCCCATCCATCGGCCGTGCGTCCCAGAGGCGACAATCTCATCCGTGTGTGTGTGTGTGTGTGTGTGTGTGTGTGTGTGCGCGCGCATGCGTGTGTGTCGAGGAGGGTGTGCTGGGGCATGCTGGGAGTTGTAGTCCAACACCAATGGAAGGTACCCAGGTGAGGAAAACAGAGGTTGGGGACCTGCTCAGTCCACGGCCCAGTGCCAGCTGCCTTAGGATTGTTACCTCTAAACCGGGACAGGACAAGGTGGCCCTTTAAACAGAGGACACTTTCCAATAGAGTACACTGCTCTGTAAAAAAGGGACACGCGGCCACCCTAAAACCCAGACCTTCCTCCACATGGGGCAATTCTGAAGAGGGTTCTTCCCAGCATGTCACCTGCTTGTTTTGCAAAAGCACCCACAGAAAGGGGAAGCACGGGAGAAGCAGCTTTCTGCTGTGCTTTTTAATTTTGACCTGGTCTGTTACCTGACGGGGGCAACCCTCAGTGCAGCGCCGTGTTGGAAATTAGAACGTGCAGAATGCTCAGGGCCCCCCGGAAGAGGCTGGTCTCTGATACGGGGTGGGAAGTTGTGGAACTCACACGCATCTTTCTAGAATCGGTCCCTTTTGTTCGCCTGAGCCAGCTGTTCAAATAGACAAGAGGCCCGTGAATGAGAAATGAAGGGCAGTGTCCAAGAAAGCACAAGCACCAGGGATGGGGGACCCCAGAAACCCTGTTCCGTTTGAGCTCAGTGGACTTTCAGGCCGTTTCTGACCTGTCAGTCAAAAGCAGAGTTTTGTGTGCGGCTTCCACAAAATGATTCAAACTCTCTGTGCGAACCTGGAGCCAAGAGCAGCGAATGGAGCCAAGACATGCTCATGACGGGCATGTCGTGAGCCGAGCCGGCTGGAGCCGGAGGTCAGACTAGATGGCCTGGGAGGCCCCTTCTGGCTTGCGCTGTTTCTCTGTTTCTGAATGTCTTTACTGCCATTGTCCCATATGATGTACCTTTGTCAAATTAGCCGCACGGAGCAAACGGGGGCTGACTCGCTGGGTGCCCGCTGTAGTGCTCAGCAGGAGAAGCAGGGAAGCGTTTCCTGGCCTTCCTCCGGCAGCTCCTTCCAGATCTGCGCACGGCCAGCCGCTACGTCCTGTGCAAAGCGGCAGAAACGGCAAAGCCCCCCTCGCAGTGCCGCATCCTCAGAGGGTGCCCTTCCCGGAAAACTTTGCCTCCAGCGAGCACGGCTGGCGGCCGCTTGCCTGGCCGCCACGTAATTCCCATGAGCAGCGGCGCGCGGACGCTCCCGTGAGCTCGTGGAGCGACACCCGCACGAACGGCTCTGTGACTCGGGGGCCGTTTCACAGCGCACACCCTGCCGCCACCGTCCCCCAGCCCTCCTCCGAAACGTCACTCAGGCCTCGGCGGCAGGGCTATTTTCGGGCTGGGCAAGATAAGGCACCCAGTGGGCCCCCTGCCCTTTCCGCGTCCTCAAGCGAGCCAGTGCCAGGGACGCTCGTGAGATCGAGCCAGGGAGGCTTTGCACAGGCGGGTGGCCTGGCTTTCTTCTGCCTCACACCTCCGTGGGTGCCCACCGAGTGTCCGCCTGCGCAGAGCATGGAGATAGCCCTCTCCTTTGATCGACCACGAGGAGGTGCGACCTTCACCCGAGACTAGCAGGTACCAGGAAGCTGGTCTTCCCGGCACGGCTCTTCCCACATCCCTGCGCGTGCGATCCATGAGCCGCATGAAGGATGCAACACCTGCCCTCGCCGAGCAAAGGGGCACATGGGCTTGGGTCCAGTTTCTGGAGGAGGCCCACGGGTACCTTCGGGGGCTGCAGAGTGGGGCCCAAAGACGCTTCTCTCCCAGCATCTGGCAGCCAGAGCGAACTGTCTGGCTGGAGTGCAGATGCAGAGAGAAGTGTTGATTTCGTGCTGAGCATAATTAGCAGAGGATTCACAGATACAGCTGCCAAGAGCGGCTTGCCCTTGCGCGAACCTGAGGCGCAGCCCCACTGGGGATGCTCTGGGTTCCTGCAAATAAAAGGGGGGTGGGGTGTATGTGGGAAGGGGCACCTCAACATCTGGGGTGTTGAGCTTAGGAGAAAGCGGGAGGAGGAGGGGGGCTCAGTGTTGTCCAGAGTATGGAGAAAGTGGAGAGAAAGAGGTTTATTTCTCTCTCCCATGATGGGAGAAGGCAGGGCCGTCTCCAGAAGCTGAACGGTGGGGAAACCGGGATAGTGAGACACTGCTTCCTCTTGTTACGTGAGGGAGCTCCTGCCACGGGATCCAGAGAGGCGCCCGCTGGCGTGGCTTGGAAGGGGGCTGCTGTGGGGGTGAAAAGAGACGGCTGCGTCATCTGCTTCCCGACCGCGTGCCCCATCCGTGGATCGGTGATGCCAGCTCGGGTCCTCGCGAGGTGGATGCGGGGCCGGGGCAGCCTCCCCGCTGCTCTTCCCTGCATTCTTCCGATGGCTTTGCCCCCTCTGGGGTCCGAGTCGCTCAGCAACAGCAGATGTGGGACCCCTGCTCACTCCCCACTCTGCAACTCCAGGGCTACCCGGGACCCACCCCCACTCCCCATTTGCAAAGCCCACTCTCCCTCTGACCATATAAATCCCCCGAGCTCGCTGGAGAGCTCTCCCAGTTCCAGACGCATTTCCTGGCCGCACAGCCACTGGCTTCCTGTTTATCCCCCTTTCAAAGAAATCAATAGATCAATACGCCAACCTGTTTACGGTGGGACCGACTCAGCCAGCAGCTAAATTGGGGTGGCAGCCAGCCAGCTCTTTGGGATTGTGCCGCGTGCGCGCAGCGGCTTTAGATAATGGCTTATATTATTCCTGGAAAGCCGGCTTGACTCGTGCACCTGGCGCTTGGCTGCCTGCCCACCCCCGCACCCCCCAGCCGGCAGGTGGGAAGTGGTGCTTGCGGGGTGGATTTTGGTGCCCACGGAGCAGCTTGGCTTGTTCCTCCAAAGTTCTGGGGGGAGGCTTTGGCTAAGCCCAACCTGAGCCAATTTGTTTCAAAACCGCTGAAAAGCTGGACACGGACGGGGCGGGCGTAACAGAAGTGCATCCCGTTGAGGCACTTCTGGCAACCCGCAGGCGAGCGGTGGGCCGAGGCTTCACTTCCCGCCACACGCGACTTTGGTCCGTGCGAGAACTGGGCAGGTGGTCGTTTCCACGTGGATCTGGGTGCGCGCCTACGGTCCCCGGTCTTGAGGGGTCTCTGGACACACTGAGAATTTTTGTAGAGGATCATGGGCACTTTTGCAAAATGGCTGCTGCAGCGGGACGTGCCTGTTCCTGCAGTGGCCGCCTTGGTGGGCCATGAAGTGCCCCTTGGCCGGAAGGCAACCTGGAGAGACCCACGAAAAGCAACTCGCCCCCCAGCGCCAGGACCTGCGGCTGGGCGCCCAAGTCACAATGCCACCCTTTGGACCCCCGTGCAGGAGGCGATGCGGGCAAATTTGCAAGACTGCCAGCCCCCCCCCCCCCACGCCTTCTTGGGCCTGCCTGGCAGGACAATCCCACATGGGTTTGCTGTCAGGTAAACCCCATGGCGTCTAATGGGGCAGACTCACCAATAAGCCTGCCAAAAAAGAGGAATACGTCAGCTAAAAGGACACCGGTTGAGGGCGTGCTCATTTCGGCATATGGGTTCAGGTTTAAGGAAGATGCACCATATCGCAACGGTGCTCTGCTGGCTGCGCTCGATGGTTGTTTGAATGGCTTTTGTTGCCATCGATTGGGGACTCGAACCACTTCTGATCTGGGGGCATGGAAGCCGCTTCGAGGTTTTGTTCTCTGCAAAGAAGGCCACACGGCGACATGAGCCGCAGCTCGACTCGCTCTCAAATCCGACAAAGACAAGGGGCAGCTGGGCCCGCGAGTCTCACCCTTCTGCGCGTGTCTCTCTCTCTCTCTCTCTCTCCTCAGCATGATGGAATACTCCCTGGATGGGCACAACGTCAGTTTGTCCGCCATCCGCACGGTCCGTGTACTCAGGCCTTTACGAGCCATTAACAGGGTGCCGAGTAAGTCTCTTCTCCGTGCTTCCGGCGTGCTTGCTTTCTCCCCAGCGGGATCGCGATCTTCATGCTGGGCCTTTGCGGGGCACTTGAGCCCCCTCTCGCTCGCCGGTTGGCCACCCGCCTTCCGGGGCACGCTGAGAAACCCAGGCCAGGCCCCCGAAGCCCCGGACTTTCTCCCGCTGCAGTCCTGGGAGTCGCATCCAGTCACCCTGGAGACCGAGCACATTCATTTGCTTGCGGCGATTCATGACGTTCATGTCTCGCTTTTCCTCCACGGAGTTCAGGGCGGCATGAGGGAGTGCTCCCCAATTTCTCCTCTCAGCAACCCTGTGAGGTAGGCCAGAGTTAGAGGTACCGGAGAAGCCCAGATGCGCCACTGCCACCTTCATGGGGTTTGCCTTGTATTTTATTGTGATGTTCTATTCATTGCTGTAAACTTGGCTTCTGTTATGGGGTGGTATTGAAATGAAAGAAGAATTATTCCTGGCCGAGTGAGGATTTCAAACTAGCACTCAGCAGCCTTGCATGTGGGCCACTGCACCAGCCCTCCCCAAAGCAAGAGCCTCCATTGCTTTTGGACTCCAATTCCCATGAGCCCCAGCCAGCACGGTCACTCTCCAGGGGCCGAGGGGATGGCCGGCCAGAGGCTGTAAGTGCCAGTGGATGGGTTGCAGCCCCTCGCCCTCCTCAGGCTCCTCAGCTTCCAGCGGGACTGCCTTCTCCCAGCTCTCCAAATTAGAGGACTGCCCTCTGTAAATTAGGGTGCCTGGCCACCCTGCACAGCTGTGTCCTCCAGGAGGGCTGGGCCTTAACCTGGGCGCAGCCTGTCTGGTGGTCGGAGCCACTGCCACTGCCTGGAATCCCACCTGAGCGACCACCCCAGGCGCATCCGATATTCTCAGGAACCATCAAAGGCACGTGCTCAGCGGCACCCCGTGCCTCACTGGGGGGCTCATTCCAGGGAGAAGGGGCCCCACTGGGAAGGCCCCCTGCCCTCTCATGGCCAGACCGGATTCCTCCGGAGGGATCGCGGGACCGAGGTTCCCCCAGAGAGCGCGGTGGGCCGACAACGCAGCCCCTCGAGGGGCCCGGAGTTGCTCAGGGCTTCTTAGACCAACGCGGACGCCCTGACCCTGGCTCAAACCAGCAGCCGGCGGGGCCTTCCCAGCGCAGGCGTGGTCCCGGCACATGGGTCACCCGCTCCTCCACGGCCAGCGGCCTGGAGCGTTAGCACGGCGCCGGCCCACATCCCTTCCCTGGGAGCAGCAGGTCGTGCCGGCGCCAAACGCAGCTCAGCAGCCACGGGGGCTGCCGGCTGTGCAGCAATAATGAATCTCCGATAGGATCAGCCATCCAGGTAATCCCTCTGATCCCCCAACTCAGAGGCAAGGGCTGCGCAGCCGCTGCTCTCCCGGGGCTCCCTCCCCTCAAAATTGCATCCGAGGCTGCCCTCCGGGGAGGGGCTGCGCGCCCCCTTCCTGCCTTAACAGGGACGCCGGGAGACTGCCTCGGTCCTCCGCACCAGGACCACTGGCGTGCCGAGAAAGACGGCCCTCCCCGGCCCCGGGCCGAGCATCACCCCGCTCCTGCCCGCTCTGTGGTCATGATCCACGGCGCTCTTCCCACCTCTGTTGCACTGGAGCAAAGGCTCCCGCTCGGTCAGTCGTCCTCGCGCTGTCGTTCATTTTGAGGACAGATGCTAGCTTTGGGGACGCAGCTGCCCGGAGAGCCGCGCTGGTGCACGGTGCAGGTTTGTGTCATTTGTGTCACTCCGTGCTGTGAGTGTGCGCTTGTGACACTGCATTCAGAGCTGGCCGCCGCCTCTGCCTCTCGCGCCAGTGCCGCAGTATTGTCGGCCTTGACTCTGGTGCGCTGGATCACCCTGCCTGTACATTACCAAGTCTCCTCTCCCTCTCCATTTCACCCTCACCACACCCCTGCGGGGTAGGCCGGGGCCGAGACTCCGCAGCGGCCCGAAGTCACCCAGCGAGCTGCACGGCCGCAGGGGGGCTCGAACGCGGCTCGCCCCGCTGCTCGCCAAACGGGCCGGCCTCTGTCCCACGGCTCCCAGGAGGGCCCCCGGGCGCCGGCCCCTGACTGCCTTCTCCTTCTTCTTGCCGTCCCGCAGGTATGCGCATACTGGTCACCCTGCTCTTAGATACTCTGCCTATGTTAGGCAATGTCCTTCTTTTGTGCTTCTTCGTCTTCTTCATCTTTGGAATTGTTGGCGTGCAGCTGTGGGCCGGACTCCTGCGCAACCGATGCTTCCTGGACCCCAACCTTCAGATGTAAGTCCTCCGCAAGCCAGGGGCCCGTCTCCCCTGCCCCCCGGCCAGCCCGCGTCAGCCGAGTCGGGCGGGGGCTCCCGAGACCGAGGCGTGGACAGCCCCACTCCCACACAGGGGTGGGGGGTCTCCCCTGGGGCCATCCCCGCTCTCCTGGTTCTTTTATTGGCCACCAAGCGGAAAGCAGGGCGGTGGCGAGAGGCGTTCTCCGGGCTTGCTGCTCGTCGTCGGATGTTTCTGGGGCTGGAAACACAAGGATGGAGGAGAGGAGAGGAGAGGAGAGGAGAGGAGCTGCTGGAGTGGGCGTGGGACTTGATCCAGCCCCACAGTGTCCCCGGCCCAGCCTGCCCCCCTGAATCACTCCCCGGCTGCTTCCCTGGCCCCCATTGCTGCTTCCCTGACTTACCAGCCATTTAGCTTTCAGGACAGATAATCCGCACCTTGGGCTGGATGGACAGGACCAGCCCCACCCCTCCAGGACCACTGGTATGCCTTTCGCCACTCACCGCAGGCCAGGTGCTCCCACTCCCGGGTGTCCGTGCAGGAGCTCCCATTTCTAGCACCCAGTCCGACCCCTTCCTCCTCCGCAAGGCCTCTCGAGCAGATTCTAGCCTTCTGCGGCTAAGCTCCCCTCGCAGGGTCTCGCCAAGCTTCGACTCTGCCCGTTGAGCCGTAAGTGCCGCCGCAGACCAGGAGCTGAAGACCTCCCTGAGCTCACGAAGGCACGAACCTTCTGCGGCCTCCGCCTGGGCCAGGAGGGCTCCCCAGCCCCCGTGGCTGCTCCCCCCACCCCTGCCACCCGGCAAGCGTCTCTGTCCCCACCTCTGGGCTTTCGTCTCCTCCCCAGAAGGATCCCATTTAAAGCCCCCCTGCCCCCCAGTCAAAATCGCACTTCTTTGGGAAAACCGGTTCTTTCCAGACTCGGCGAGGGGCCTTAGCCAAGGCAGGAGCTGATCAATGGAGATTAATGTGCTTGGTGAGCTTCAACCCCTCCGAGCCAGCAGAGCTGGGGATGCTGGGCAGGCCACAAGGGAGTCGAGTAACTTCAGCCATCCATTGAACCGCCCCACGGATTCCGCAGTGGACTGGCTTTTCCTGAGTCACACGGATCCCACTTTTCCCCCTTTCCAGAAGTTTATGCAAATCTTGTCATAGATATTTTTCACAAGCAACCCAAACTGTGCTCCCCCCCCCCCCCCGCAGGCCAAGGTGTGCCTTTTGGCGCAAATGTGCTCATGCACGCAGGTTTGGGAAACAGAAAAAACTCTGATTCCGAAAGTGAGTGGACCGTGGAACGAAAGGTGCCCAACAATTTGCAACGCACACTCGGGATGCGTCGAGCAAATTCTGCACGTCCCTGGCAGGGGTCCTGCTGACAAGCAAGCCCCCCTCCCCCATTGCCAGTTCAAAGCTCCTCTCCTGGGCATCTCAGTTGGGATCCGCCTCGAGGGAGTGAGATGCTTCCCGAAACCTTGCTAGGGGCACCTTGGGGTCACCTCCCCTCCCTCCCGCTGTCGGGTGGCCGTGCCTCGAAACCGCCAAATGGAGAGTGCGGGGAGAGAGAAGCGGTTGTGCCGAGCCTGATAAGGGCCGGCGTCCTTCGAACACCCTCTGTCTGTCGAACTTCAGCGAGAGCGACATTCTCCAGATCACCCTGTTCAGCAACACCCACCTGCCCCCATAGCTTTTCCAACTTGGCAGCGGGACTGGCCTGCGTCAGCGATCCGTCAGAACCGGGGGACCCAGCTGGGGGGGCTCCTCTGCCCCTTCCTGGCTCACTCGGCTTTGGCTGCATTCCATGGGCACCAGGGATGTCCGTTTCGGCCCCTCGGGTCTGAAATGAGGGGGGGGAGGACAGAAATGGAGGCGAGTGCGGGTCTCATCCCATGCAGAACACCTTGCCAGACACAAGCCAGCTGCAAAAATTCCTCGCTGCCCGGCGGGTCGGCAGCTTCAGCTTTTATAAAAAATACCAGCCTGACACAATTCTCCTGGAAAAAAATCGTTCTTGTATTGGGCTACATCTGTTATACCAGATGAAATGGTGGGTTATAATAGAGCAGATGAAAAAGCAGAGGGATAAAGCTCACACTGCAGTGGAGTTTTGTGACTTCAGCGCCTTCTCTTTAGCGGCTTAGGAGGACAGCAGAGGGAGGGAAGGAATCTGGACTGAGACTTTAGGAGAAGGAGGTCGACCTTTCCCCCCCACGCCATTTTCTTTACAAAACTCTCCCCAGAGCCTGCAAAATTCACTGCCACCCTAAACCTAAAGATTGGAGATCTTGGAGATCCGTACGGGCTGGAAGATGAGGTAGATGAGTTTGGATGAAAAGAAAAACGCGTGGAGACAAAATGCCCCCTGGCTTGGAAGCTGCAAAGGGGCCCATGAAATGGGGGATCCCGTGGGATTATGATGTATACCACGGTATGCAAAAGAATGTTCTCTGAAGCCCCGTTTTCGCTGCAAAATCCACAGTAGAGGTGGCTCCTTCCATCCAGTCTCAGGGATTCGGCCGAATTCCATCTGCCCTTTCAGAGAAGGAAGCATAAAAATCTGTGCCGTTCGGAGCTCCGGCACCAACCCAGAAAAGAGGAAGCAAAAGGTTGCCAGGAACGGGACCGGTGCTGCAGCAAGTAAAACCTGCAGCTATCTCAGCCTCGCAGGAGCAGCAAACCGAATCCCAGAGTAATTAAAAAAAGATTTGAGATAAGTACACGGCACCAGCTCTTTTCTTCCTCTGCCCCTTCAGCAACCCCGACAGCTCAAAATGGCCACTGGCGGCCTCTTCTCAGCTTTGCATGAAACCAGTGGAAGGAGCTGATGTTACTGCTTGAACAAAAACTTTGAAATGGAAATTGGACTGTGAGTGAGTCGTGGCCGTCCTGCAGCATTCCGAAGTGGCAGGAATGCTTTGAGTCAGGGGGCCCAGGTGTTTCTAGCACCGCCATATTTCTAGCACAGTCTCACACCTGGGCACCTCTAGACCAGCCATCTCTAGGCTGAGTCCCTTCAATATTTCATTTTATTTATTATTGTACTCTTTGCTTGTTATGTTTTTATTGTTTATTTATCTTGTAAGCTGTCCTGGGACAGTTGGATCGTATGGGATGGGATAAAAATATTCTAAAAAAAAAGAATGGAAAGAGCAGAAGTGTATCACACATGCCTCTGAGTTCCAGGGAGGCGGTAATTGGGCACAGATCACACACGGTTGCTTCCGCTTCTGCTCCGCTGCACTCTAATTCCAAATCCTCATCCCCCAGAACTCAGCACTTTTGCTTCGAAATGACACCAAAGACATTAACGTCCCTCTTGGTTTCCTCTCTCCCCGCTCAAGGACATACAACTTGACTTTCCTGCATCCATACTACCGGCCGGAGGAAGGGGAGGAGAATCCGTTCATCTGCTCATCCCACCGGGATAATGGCATGCAGAAATGTTCCAGCATCCCAAACAGGAAGGAGGACAAGGTGGAGTGCACCTTGAGCATAGACTCGTACAACCAAACTTCGTACTCTCCAGATTTCAGCCACCGAAACACCTGCATAAACTGGAACCAGTACTACAACATTTGCAGGACTGGGGAGATAAACCCACACAATGGAGCTATTAATTTTGATAATATTGGCTATGCTTGGATAGCTATTTTTCAGGTAAGGGGGGCTTCCCTGCTCTCGTGGGTCGCGCAGGTGTGCTTGAGATGCAAGATTGTGGGGAAGAAGCGCGAGCAAAACGGTCGCTGACTGATGCGTCTGCGCTCGGTGAACGACGGCGCCTGCTGGTACATCCTGAACTTGCTGCCTCCGTGTGCTCCCCGTCCTTCCAGGCTGGCTTGTTCACTGATGCTGATGGAAATTCAGTATGTAGCAGAGGATTCTGGGAATATCTTCTAGGGCTCGCTGCTGGTCCACCGGGGGCCTGCTGGTGCCCAGCAGGTGCCTCACCTGAACTGAGAACCAGGGTAGGGCAATGTGACCGCGTCTCTTTTGCTTCGTGGGAGGCGGGTGGGCCGGGGCTGGGGCGCTTCTCCGCTCGATTCTCTCATGGACACCGCCTGCCCGACAAAGCGCTGGAGCAGGGGAAGGTGCCTTCGGCTGCATCGCACCACTGGCCCGTCCGGCCCAGGATGGCCCACAATGCCCGGACTGCAGGCCCCCAAGCCAAATGCAGCCCTCTCAGGGGCCCAGGAGAGCCCCCCGGGGCTCCTCACATGGCTGCAGCCCCCCCGGCCCCCAACTGCCTGTCTCTGGGGGCCCACCAGCTTGGGTGTGTTTTCCCCACCCTGGAAAGTAGAAATGCGGCCCCGAAGGCCCAGGCCATGGCCCTGGAGAGCGTCTCCACTGGTGAGTTTGGCGCTCCACTGGAAATGCCTTTGCCTGCGGGAAGAGCCCATCCTGGGAACGCAACCGCAGCCCTGACTTCCCAGTGGCGAAGGCCGCGCGCTCACGTCCCCCGTCCCCTCCTGTGTCGTGGACCCGCCGTGCCGTCGTGGGGAGGATCTGCCGGGGCAGCCGGGACCCTCTCCCTCTCACACGCCCAGAGCAATAACCCGCTTGGGAGCCGCGTTGTGGCTGTTGCATTTCTGCACCACTCTGTAGCCGAAGCTCTCCGGGGGGTTGTGGGAACCTCGACTGCTGTGACCTGCGGGCTGGACCCGTGTGCTCCGGGACCAGAGTCTGGCCCGGGTGATATTTGCGCCCGCGAGTTGCCGGTTGCAGGTGACGGCGGCTGTGTGGATGCGTGGCGCTTTTCTCACCCTCAACGAAGGCTTGAAATAGGGGCTCTGGAGGGACAGGACAGAAGGCTCTTGGCCCTCGGATCCCGACCCGGCGCAGCTTGCAATCCGAGTGCCGAGACCGAGGCCACCACTGAAAGTGGCGGCCGCTCCCACAGTCCAGCACTTGCCAGATTGGAGCTGTCCGTGGTACGACGTGCCACGTTTTCCTCTCGCTGTCCGTGGCAAAGTGAGCCGGGCTGCCGTGGATTCCCTGGCACTCCTCAGCCCCCAGGCATCTCGCGTTCAGTTCGCTTCCCGTGCCTCCTCGCCGCACGCAGGCGGGAGCATGGCCTCAGGAGCTCTGCGTGTGTGGTCCAGATGGGATCGCCTCCTCCTTTTGGGGTTCGGGGCAGCGAAGCGGTTTGCTGTTCCCAAGACCCACTGCTGGTCGGCCTTAAAGCATGGCCAGAAACCCTAAATCCCACCATTCTCCAAGGGAAGACGTTGATGCTCCGCTGCGTTTTCAAGAGTCTAATTGTTGCTCTTGTCGTCCTCTGAATTACACATGTTTCGATGCTCTTCGTTTAGTGTGTGATGGCTAGCTCTCTGCCGCCTTTTATGAGCAAGGCACATTCCGTGGCCAATGATGAGAAGTAATTATCGTGTTATGGGATGAAAGAGAAGAGATGCAGGGCCTAAATTAACTGTGAGATATTACGATCCATCAACCGCACACTCTGTCTGGAGGGGAAGTCCTGGATGCCGTTAATTAGGGGGTGTATTGTTGTTGCCCTGCGCGGGGTGAACTCACTAACTTCCTAATTTGTCTGGGCTATCAGCAGGATGAGGAAAAGCCAACGGCCCACCCGCTCACGTGAAGAGCAAAGCAGGCGAAAGGCCTCCCCCAAACGCCCCGCAAAAAACAGAAACAAGACATGAAGCCCCCGGACGTGTAAGGCCCCTTCTGCACGTTAAAAAGCAGTTGAATGCTGATTTCTACGCATTTGGACTGCAGCGGGCAAAGCCACATCTTTGAGAGGTCCCCGAATACAGCAGATCCCTGCATGTAGTAATCTAGCCCACCAGGCGGAGCTGCTTCCCAGCCACACCGGCCCCTCCATGCCCAGCGAAACTGGGAGGCGCCCAGTGCCAGGTACAGCGGGGTCCTCGGCTTCGACGGGCCGCTCTAGCCTGCGCCCCTCGCAGCGGGCCGCACCGGGCCACCTCCACCCTCGCGGTCGCCGTGTCGCCCAGTCCCGGCGCATGGGGCGCGTCCTCCTCTGCCGAGGCGCGCGATCAAGGTAACCGCTGTCGCCCGACAGCTCCTCAGCTCTTATCAGCATTTCAGGCCTGCTCTCTCCCCCGCCTCGTCCTCGTGCTCCTCCGCAGCCGGTCCCCCAGCCCATGCGCCGCTTCCCGCTTGGGCATTCCTGTCACGCTCCCGGCTTGCCACGGCTGCCTGGCGCGCTCTCCGGCACATTCAGCTGCGTCAGCAGAAGGACGATTCCCACCTTGCAGATGGCAAATAGAAGGCCAGGGAGACGCCGTGGATCGGGCTCGATTAACTCATCAACGGAGATGTCTTCTTGGGCAGAACGGTTCCAGGCAGCAACGCCTGTTTCCAGCGCATGGAAGCTTGACCCACATGTCTGCGTGTCTCTGCACGGCACACGCGCTCCTGTCAGGGATGAATCCACAACCGCCAAGGGCTTTTCTTCTTCTGTACTTACACCGTAGCCTTGAAAGCGCCTCTGTGCCTCAAATCCAGCCAGCGCTGGGTCAGAACACAGAAGTGTGGGAGGCAAGATGCGTTGTCTGGACTTCCAGGGGCAATTCTGCCTTCCAGAAGCTTTGTGGGGTCCGGCCAGCGGTGGGCCATCAAACAACTCGGGTCAACTTGAAGGCAAGGGTTTCCCTTCTGTCATTCAAGAGTTAAATGTGGAGGTCACATGAGGAAGACACTAAACCAGCGGATATATGGGGTGTGATTCAGCTAATTTTTTATTACGAATTACCTTCCAAAACAGTCACGGATTCGGATGCAATCAAAGTCGACTCATTCGCAAGTTTGCCACACGATTCGCAGACACCCGAAAATGTGACGTTATAGGCGTACTTGAAAAATAGGCAAGAAAACCTCCGTCTTTTTGCAAAATGCCTGTAAGTGCACTTTTAATCAACAGGAGAAGCATGTTTACATTCACCTCCAGCCATTTTTTGTCTCTCCGCTTTTCACCTCCTTTTCAGACAATGAACCGAATCCTTTCACCCTGTTACAAAAGAGTTAATTCCATTCTCCACAAGCCAAGATGCAGCAAATGCTCAGGCTAATTAGCATGATAAATCAGGCCTCATGAATTATGTAATGAGAAAGGATTTATTACCCATTACTAGAACTTGATCGCTGGCATTTATTCGGGAAGAGACGAAGCCGGCCTTCAGCGTGCCGGAGAGCATCAAAACTGGCTTGCTGCGTCAGTCCAGGTCCACCGCTTACTTCCTGGGTTGGATGCTCACGTGGCTGAATGTTGCTCCAGGACCCCCCCCCCCCCAGGCCCCTGCATCTGGAAAGCCAGGAGATCAGGCTGCCAGGCCGGCTTTCCACATGGAGGGGCTTTGGGTAGCATCCCACCTGGATGTCCAGTCCCGCTACCGTGGTCAGAATTGAATCTCACAGCATATTGTAGTTGGAAGCTCTGTGCTGTAGAAGAAACATTTCAGCCTCGTAAGAATGGAGTGAGGGAACCACACAGAAGCTGGGAATGAGCCACCGGGGGCCTGGGAATGGGGTGAGGCTGGATGGGGTGGCCATCCGGGGATCCTCGGGGGGGTTCTAAGTCACTCCTAAGTTAAATCCAGAGGGTCCCATTCCGTGGAGCAAGTGCCACTCTCTCAAGGCCACATCCAGGTGGGCTTTGCGTAGGAGAAATATAAGGCAAGGTAGGAAGCGTTTCGGCCCCTCCGGCTCCGCATTTCCCACTGCAAGAATCTCTCCCCGTGGTCCTCCGTTGCAGTCGTGGCACCGCATTTTCCGGAGCCTAGAATGAGGTCTGTGAGGAAGGGTTAAGCTGCAAGCATGGACAACACACTCTGGTGACCTTTTTGCCTTTCCTGGGAGAAACGGGCGCCGAGTTTCTGCGGCACACGGTGCTGACCAGATGCATTGTTCCGTCCAGCGATGGGATGAGACAGCTTGAAATTCTTTGGTCAGATGCCTCTCAGAGCAAGAAAGCAGAAGGGCTTTCCGAGCTTCAACGGGAGCTGAGATCCTGTTTGTTTTTCTTCTGGTCGGAGAGCTTATGTCAGCAGCAAGTCCGTCCAATTCACGGAAGGGACTTCAAACCCGTCACTGGCGGCGAAATTGGCTGCTGGGCAGAGGAGAAAGGGTGGACGCTTCTTCTCTGGCTGGCGCTCATTAGCCAACTCAACATGGCCTCAACGGGGCAGAAGAGACAGAGATAAAAGGCCCCAGAATTGTACACAGAAAACTCGCCAGAATAAGGCTGCGCGCTCCTGCCGCCATCCAGCCTTGCCCTGAGATGCAGCACAAACCGGCTCTCTGGAGCGGAGGGCAGCGGAACCCGGAGCCAGCGCGTCGCGAACCCTTTCCTGGGCTCCTCTCGGGCATTTTTCACACAGTAACTGCCGTGCGGGTGGCGGGTGAGGGGCTGGTGCAGGAGGAGGGGGAGGACAGGTGGGAGACGGGCTCCCTGCATCACTCAAGGGAGGGTAAGGACTGGGAAGGGCGCCAGGGAGGCTGCCTCAGGTGCTGCGCAGAACAGGGCTGATTGCAGCAAGCCCAAGCAGGCAGCTTCTTACGGGAGCCCTATATTCAGAACCATGAGGACTAGAATCTTACTTTATTTTTAAGGGAAGGGTCATAGTTGAGGGGCAGAGAGCTTGCTTTGCATGCAGAAATAGGTTCCATTCCTAGCA